TCTGAGCCTGCCACGGAGACCCCGGAATGCCCAGAGGCTGCCACGGAGGCCCCAGAACATTCTGAGCCTGCCACGGAGACCCCAGAACATTCTGAGCCTGCCATGGAGACCCCAGAATGCCCAGAGCCTGCCACAGAGGCCCCAGAACATTCTGAGCCTGCCACGGAGACCCCAGAACATTCTGAGCCTGCCACAGAGACCCCGGAATGCCCAGAGCCTGCCATGGAGGCCCCAGAACTTTCTGTGCCTGCCACGGAGGCCCCAGAACTTTCTGTGACTGCCACAGAGGCCCCAGAAGCTGCCATGGAGGCCCAAGAACACTCACAGCCTGCCACAGAGGCCCTCAAATGCCCCAAACCTGCCACAGAAGCTCCAGAACTTTCTGAGCCTGCCACGGAGGCCCTAGAACATTCAGAGCCTGCCACAGGCCCCCCCGGGTCTGCCATGGAGGCCACAGACCCACCCAAGCCTGCCTCCATTAGAGAAGAAGTAGCTGAGGGTCTGTTGGCACCTAAGCAGGAAAACTGTGCCAGTGCCTGTGTTTTTGCTGGTGATGGGGCCAAGCCCCATTTTCCCCCAAAGGAGGACCCAAGGAGTGAGAATCAGGGGGCTGGAGGCCTAAGGTCAGCACCCCACAGTGCTAGGAAGGCTCCTGGGGATAGTGGCCCAGAGGTACATCTTGCTGCTCACCCCGAGGTCCGTCACACATGGCCCCAGACCCCAGAAGAGGAGGGAAGAGCCAACCCCGAGCCCAGGTCTTCTGTTGCTGTGGCCTCAGAAACTGGGCTGGCTTCCTGCCCTGAGTCTCCCCCAAGGTCTGTGGCCAGGCCTGGCAAGGGCTGCCCCAAAGAGCCTGCTCCCACCACTCCAGCACCCTCTTGGCAGCTGGAGCCCGTGCTGGGCCCAGGCAGTGGAGTGAGGGCTCAAGTAGTCCCTGGAAGTCCCAGCTTGTCCCCATCACAAGCCCCTGAAAGCCCTAACAGGGGTCTGCCCAGCATGACCCAAGACAGGCCCCTTGGCCCAGAGCCCGCTGTTCCTGGGGTCCCCACAGAGGCAGCCCCATGCCCCATGGCACCCCTCACCCCCTGCCCTTGCCAGGGACCCAGGGAAGACTCGACGGAGGGCAAGGAGCCCCCAGGCTCTCCCAGCCTCCAGCCACCACGTGCAGGAGCCCAGCGGGCAGTGGCTGCCTTCTCAGGAACCACAAAACCTCCTGGGGCTGGGCATCGAGTCAGCCTCCCACCCCACTCCCCCCTCCTCAGCCCCAAAACAGCCCCCATGGGGGACACCCATGCCAAAGACCAGGCCTGGCGGATCTCGCCCCCCTGCCAAGTGCCTCCTGGCCCTCGAGGGCTCCCAGCCGCTGAGCAACAGGATGACCAGGACAGCCTGGAGGAAGGTGAGGGGGGCCAAGGGGCTGGAGCACTGTCCCCGAGCCAGGGGCCAGAGGGGGCAGGTGGGCGGGCCGTAGGGATGAGTTACGAGGCAGAAGCCGTCCTCACACGCACACGCCCCCACCCCATGCCCAGACTCGCCCCCGAGGGCTCCGGGATCCGGCCAGCACTCAGACAGCCACGGGGAGTCGTCGGCAGAGCTGGAGGAGCAGGACCTCTCGGGAGCGCAGACGGCACAGTGCCCGACCCAGGTGCCGGCCTGGGATGGGGGAGGCTGCAGCCCTGGGAGGGCCCTACCCCACCCTCCCTTGGGTGCTCAAACCCTGTCCTCCCCAGGCCCCAGCAGGCGGCAGCAGCGAGGAAACAGTGGCCAAAGCCAAGCAGAGTCGCAGTGAGAAGAAGGCCCGAAAGGTGGGTGGGGTCCTGCCAGGGCCACTCCCCTGGGAATGGGCCTGCTGTGTAAGGGGACCCTTCACACCCAGTGGCTGACAGACGCCACCGGTGGGGTCATCAGGTCGTGAAACTGCTGGGGCCAGAGCACCATTGAGACCATGCCCACAGCTGGGGTCCGGTATCCCACCCTACACCTGGGGGTCGGGTGTCCCCACAGGCTCTACCCAGAGCCCACAGAGAGTCCCCTAGAGTTGGTGGCAGAGTCCTTGTTCTCCCATCAGTGTGCTCTCTCCCGGGCCTACCCGCTCCTCCCCACCCCAGCCTGGGACCCCCAGGCTGATGCCCAGGTCTGAGCCCCCCGTGCCCCCAGGCGATGTCCAAGCTGGGCCTGCGGCAAATCCAGGGGGTCACCAGGATCACCATCCAGAAATCCAAGAACATCCTGTTTGTCATCGCCAAGCCTGATGTCTTCAAGAGCCCGGCCTCGGACACCTACGTGGTCTTCGGCGAGGCCAAGGTCTGGCTGGCCGCAGGGGGGTGGGGTGGGGACCTGGGGCATGGGCTGGGCTGACCGCTGGGCCCCTGCAGATCGAGGACCTGTCCCAGCAAGTGCACAGAGCTGCTGCTGAGAAGTTCAAAGTGCCCACAGAGCCGTCCGCCCTGGTCCCCGAGTCTGCGCCTGGGCCGCTGGTGAGGCCTGGGTGTGAGGAGGAGGAGGAGGAGGAGGAGGAGGAGGAGGAGGTAGGAAGCAGGGACACGGGGGAGGGCTGGGGAGGCATCTCACGGTTTTTTCTGGGGTGGGGGCAGCCCCAGAACCTGCCGGCTTGCCCCCCTCCAGGTGGATGAGGCAGGACTGGAGCTCCGTGACATTGAGCTAGTGATGGCACAGGCCAACGTGTCGAGGGCCAGGGCCGTGCGGGCCCTGAGGGACAACCAGAGCGACATCGTCAACGCCATTATGGTGAGTGGCAGGCCCCCCTCGGCCCCCTGCTGCTGGCCCTACCGGGCCTCTCCCCAGCCTGCTCTCTCTGTCTCCTCTCTCTGCAGGAGCTCACCATGTAGCCAGGAGCGCCCCGACCCAGAGCTCCGTCCCTGCCCCCGGCTCCGCTGCTCAATAAACAGGTGTCTCCGCACGGCCTCTGCTCTGGCTCCTCCGTGCTGGGCGCGTGCTCCGGCCAAATGGGATTTGTGGAGGGGCAGAGGGGCAGAGATGCTTCCTGCCTCCAAGCAGACTGTCCCAAAGGGTGGTGGTCTGGCCCCCCTTGGGGGGTGTGGCCTTCCGGTGGCCCCAGAGACTGAGAATCCTCTCCCCACCATGTCCCCCGAGGGCAGGATCGGTCCAGTGACTCCAGGAGGTGGGGGGGGTCCATCCCCCGGGCCCCCACCGTGTCCACGGTGCCCATCCTGCCCAGAGACGGTGAGCAGGCACTCAACTGTGGCCCAAGCTTGGGCCTGGGGGCTGGGTTTGGGAAGGAACTCCCCAGACGCGCGGGCTCTGCGGGTTTAGCCAGGGAAAGCCATTTCCTGAGTGGGGGGAGGGGCAGCGACCAGTTCTTGGCCCTCCTGGCACCCAGCTCTGCAGTGGCCGTCCATGCTCTCCGTGCTCCCTCTTCTCCAAAGTCCAGGGACCCACAGAGGTGGGCTCCTGGAGAGAAGGGAGCGGCTCCTGCCGTCTACACAGGACACTCAGAACTGGTTCCACAATCCACCCACTCTGGACTGCCTGCTACGGCCACTCACACCCAGGGTGAGCTGGCCCTGCCTGGATGACTTCAGTTCTTCCAGATGCTTCCAGAGCAGGCTGATTTGCATTCCTCTGGAGACCTACCCCATTCCCCTTAGCTCTGCCGGCCTGGGTCCACGACCAGCTCCTGGACACCCCACGCCAGAACCAAGTCTGAGAGCTTTCCTCCCATCCTGACCTGCCCCTGGCCAAGAGCCAGATCCCACCTGGCACCCCCATACCCTCACTGGGAGCCCAGGGCTCTGTCCTCCCTTCTCCGGGACACCGGCACCCGTCCACACTCAGGGGCTTTCCACACGTGTTGTCGGGGGTCTCCCAGGACAGAGGCACCTTCTAGGTAAGGAGGAGGTCTCCAGGGCCACCCCTGCCTCCCCACGCGCCAAGGGCAGGGGAGGGGCCCAGCTCAGGGAAGATCTAGGAATCTAGGAATCCACACCCCCGCACCCCTCCCCCCAGCCTTAAGCCCCCTGGAGACCAGGACCCTGGGCCCCTGGGCTCTAAGATGACATGCTTTTGGCAAGGGACTGGGTAACAAGTTTGCAGTGGAGACCACCTTGGTGGCAATGAGACTGAGGACTGGGGGACTCAGGTGAGAGGCCAAAGGCAGGCACCACACTCAGGAACCCAGAAGCCACTCCCAGGGGCGAGAACCTGACACTCGCACCAGCTCCCAGGCCCCCTGCTGCCCACCCCACGTCCATGCAGCAAAAGCCCCAATCCCGTCCTCCCGGTTTGCTGCGACGAGCACCAAAGGGCAGCCAGCCCCCAGGCCACAGTGCCTAGCCCAGACGTGCGGCCCCGGCTCCCACCCCCACGAGACCAGAAGCACGCTGGGACCAGAAATGAATTATTCACATCGCAGTAAACTTCTTTGAAGGTCTCTGAGAGTTTCGACAGGAACGTCGTGTGCAAAACCGAAAGGACCCCCGGGACCCCTCCTGGAGCGGGCCGCGGGCACCAGCGCCCGGGGCCGGCCCTTCACAGTAGAGGGCGCAGCGGCAGGCCCCTCCCGGCACCGTCAGGCCGAGTCCCGGTCCATGCTGCAGCCCAGAGCCTCGATGTCGTTGCTGATGTCCGAAATCATGCGGTCCCACTCGTCCCCCTCCGAGGGCGCGGACTGGTCGTCGGAGCTGCCCGCGGCCCTGTTTCCGGTGCCCGTGGAGGCGGAACTCAGGGCCCGCCGGTACCTGCCAAAGCTGTCGGTGATGATGCCTCGGCCGTCCTTCACCCCGATGGTCTCGAGGAAGTTCTCGAAGTGCTGGCTGTCCTTCTCTGGGATGAAGGGCCGCAGACCTGTGGACACAAGTGGGGCTGACGCTGGGCCTCCCATGGGGAGAACGAGTCTGCCCACCCGGCCTGCCCGCATCCAGCCCAGTTCGACGGGCACCACGGGCCCATCAGGTCCCAGCACTGCAACAGGTGTCTGACCCCATGTCCTCCCTCAAAGCTGGCAGAAGTCCACTCACAGGCCTGGATGCAGAACAGAAGGGGCCAGCTGACCTCTAGGGGCACCACCCACTTCTACAAGAATAAGCCAGAAAGGAACAGAGCTGGGGTTGGGGCCTGGGACCCCAGCCCTGGCTGCACTGACCCTGGTGGGGAGGCCACAGGGTCAGCAGGAGCTCAGACCGGACGCAGCAGGCCAGGCCTCCTGCCCTACCTCCCAATGAGTGGTGAGCCCTCGGATGGCTGCTGAGGAGGGTATGACCCACCCCCTTAGATGGGGGGCAGGGCTCAGGAGCCTCCACCAGCCCCCATCAGCCGGTGGAGTCTCTAGGTTCAGCATGTGGGAGACACGGCCACCCAGTCACCCGGAGGGTGCGAGCAGGTGTGCAGCCTGGCCACCCTGCCCACCCAGCTCTCAGGGCCAGCATCCCAACGGCCAGTTCTTCTACCCAGAAACAGGGTCCACTTCTCTGCCCAGCAAATTGCTGGTCACCCACCGAAAGCCCCTCGAGAGCCACGCCCCCCTCCAGGAGCCCCATTCCATCCCCTGCTCCAGGAGCGAGGCTCCGGGCTTCCCCGCAGTCCGGCTCCCAACGGCAGCTCCCATCCGTCACTGGGAAGAGCTCTGGGCAGCGGATCCCCGGCAGAACCCCCCACGCTGCGTGCACCCCTGCCCCCCCGCGGGGCTCACCGAGCAGCAGGAACTTGCGGCTGTCCCCGTACAGCTGCCGCAGGTTGATGCAGAACTCGTGCACGGACGCCCCGTCGCGGTAGTCGTGCAGCAGCGCGGCAAACTGCTGGATCTCCTGGGAGGACAGCTTGGTGCGCAGCTGCCCACGGCGGGCAGGGGTGCGGCGGTGAGCGGCGCCCACAGTGCCCCCCCCCGCCAGCCCACACAGCGGCCCCCACTTTACCCGGGGCAACCTGGGGAGCGTGCCCACAAGGAGCCCAGGGACACATACAGAACCAAGTGCGGGTCAGCAACGGTGGGCGGCGGGGGGGGGGGGGGCAGCGGTTGTCCCCCCGCCCCTCACCTGTGCGCCCGTGCCCACCCCGCCCCGTCTCCGAGCCCGGCGGCGCGCACCGTCAGCATGTAGTCCTGCAGCAGCTCGGCGGCCGTGGCGCTCAGCTCGCTCTCGCTGGCCGTCTTGGCGTGCGGCGCTGTCTGCATGCAGAAGGACAAGGGCGACACGCCGCCTGCGTGCACGCACTCGGGGAAGGAGCTGCAAGGACAGGAGCCGTGGGCACGGGGCTCCCGTGCTCACCCTGAGGCCCGGGATCCCCGCCCCCCGCAGAGCTGCACTTCCGGCCGGGGGCCCGCATGCGCGTGGGGGGCCCGCGGGGCTTGGGGACTCACAAAGCGCTGGCGTCCGTCTCGTACGGCTCCTTCACGTCCACCTTGGTGGAGGAGTCGTCTGCGCAGGGGGCGGGACACAGGCTTCGGGTTACCCGCGGGCGGAGGGGCCCCGAGTCCCCGGGCCCCACACTCCACTAGACGTGGGCCCTGGCGGGGGGCCTGCAGGCCTTCTTGGGCAGAGCCGCCTGTCCCCTGGCGGCAGCCTCAGGCAGTCCCCCACCGGCTCCCACTGTGGGCGTTCTGGATGGGCACCACCTGTCGCAGGTGTGGGCCCGAGCGCTACGCTCCAAATGGGGGACTGAAGGGCACTCCCCGAGGGCCAAGGATAAGACAAGGGCCACTTGGAGCTGCCGCGCGGTGTCCCGGGGCCCGAGTCACTTTGTCCCTTCTGCTCACTTCAGACGAGGAGTGGGATCCCAGAGGTCGGACAGCTTGTCCCACCGCACGGGGTCCGCCGAGGGCAGAAGGCCGGAGGCAGGGCTGACCCCCAGACTGGAGCCGGGGGGGGGGGGCTCCGCTCAAGCAGGGAGGCGGGACCCTGGCATGCTGAGCCCCTCCCACCCGCGCAGAGCCCGGGACACAGCCGCTACTCAGGAAACACTGGTCAGGGGACCTTAGGTCCACGTGACACAAACCGTGGGAGGCACAGACACCATTCTGAGCCGCCGCTGAGCTCGCGGAGTTGGGGTGACCGGGAGCATGGGGGCGCTCCTGGGGTGTGGGAACACAGGGCTAAGGGCTCTGCAGATTCAGAGGAGGGGACGGCTGCCACGTGCCCGCGCCCAGCAGCCTCGGTCCCAGAAAAAGCCCTCACCCAGTAGCTGTGAGGTCTGCGGGTTCCTCCCCACACACACACACCCCTCCCCCTGCCCCTGTTCTCAGGCAGGTGAAGGGACTTGAGCTGAGAAGCCGTCCCCGCCCGGGATGTGGTACAAGAAGGCACCAGGCTCGCCAGGGACATCAGCAGCGGGGTGTGGGAACAAGGCACTGGCGCAAAGCCACGGGCACGGGACAGCATCACTGTGCACCCACACTCACGTACCACTGTGCAGGGATAGGTGGTGGGTGGGTGTCGAGGCCCCGTCGAAGATGGCTCTGTCCAGAAAGTCGATGGTGGACTCCGTGTACACGATCTGGAAGACCTGTCCCAGCAGGGAGCACAGCTCCTCCGCAGCGACCTGCCGTGGAGACAAAGCTGGGCCTTCCTGGGCAGCTTGCTGGCCCCCTGGCTCCTCAGATGCCCAACCAGCACCCGCCACCCAGCAGGCCACGAGGGGACCAGCCCACAGCTGGGAGGCTCTCTGGACCCAAGGGGGCCAGGTGTGTCCACCACCAGCCCTCCTGTCCCCCCCACCTGCCCACCAACATGCTGCCTCTGCTGCGGCCCCAGGCTCAGGGACGGCACTCCCAGCCGGGAACACGGCTCACACACGTGCTGTTAAGGCAGGGTCCCCTCTGATACTGGGCAGTCACCAGAGGGGCCTGCAGTGAGAACAGGCTGGGGAGGCAGCCCCGTGAGGAAGAACTGCCCGCTAGAGGGAGGGCAGAGCCAAGGACACGCAGTGATCAAAGGGTCCCCGAGGCAGGAGGCCCCCCCTACAGTCTTCTAGACAAACTACACACAAGGAAGGGCCTGGGTCAGGAGGTGGGAGAGACCAGGTCAGTGTGGGAGGGGCCTGGGCTGTGGGGTGGGCCTGTGGTGGGCGGGGCCTGGGTCAGCAGTGGGCAGGGCTTGGGGTGCGGATACAGGAAGAGCCCAGGCAGGTTGTGGGCAGGACCTGAGCCTGAGTCCCAAGTCCCGCCTTCTACTCACCTTGCTCTCTGCTGCGAGGATCACCAGGCAGCAGGCCTCCACCGGCCCCACTCCGCTCTCTGACAGGGAGACTGCGGTGAGGCCTCTGGAACTTTCCGCACACAGACTCTGGCTGGGGGAGATGCCCGGGTCCTGGGCTGAGAAGTCAACAGCACAGCAGGTTCGGGCAGCTGTGGGAGCTCCACAGCCCGGGGCGGGCAGTGCCCACCTGGCTCAGGCGTGCCCCCTCGCCCCCTCCGCTAAGCTGCCCCTGCCCTCACGCTCCCTGGAGGCTGGCCTGGCTGTGCTCCCTGAGAACCACCACTCTGCAGTGGTGGCATCCCCGCCACGGACGGTGCGCAGATCCCGGGCTAGGACATGAAACGCCCAGTAGCCAGCTGCTTTCGGTTGACACACGAGACAGGATCGCCAGAGTTCCACTCGCAGGAACCATGGGCACGAGCACAAGCCTGCCAGACGGGGACCCCAAGGTGTCTGGGCCCCAGGGTGTGAGGGGGCACAGTCCAGGACAGGATGTGGACGGGGCGAGCCCGGGCCCACGTTTCTAAGGCTCCACACTTCCTCAGACAAGGGCAACCCCAGGCCTGCCCGCAGCAGGGAGGGAGGCTCCTGCCCTGGGAAGCACAGGCACATCAGCTTGGCAGACCGGGTAGCGGGGGCGGGGAGTAGACCGGGGAGGCGGGGAGTGGACCGGGGAGCAGACCCAGAGCAGACCGGGGAGCGGGGGAGCAGACCCCGGGGGCGGGGAGCAGACCGGGGAGCAGGGGCGGGGAGCGGGGGCGGGAGTGAGGCCTCCCATGCCCCGCTGGCTACCTCTGGATGCGCCCACGAGGCTCAGACGTGGCTGGGAGCCAGCAACCAGGCAGAAGCCACCCTCGGGACAGGTGTGCCTGCAGAGCCCGGGGCCCAGCACCCCATGAGCCCCACGAACGCCGCCATCAGACCCAAGGACTGCATTGCCCCCCGCAGCTACGGGCCCCCGGCACCGAGCACGTGAAATGCGGCAAGTCCCCACGGTGCTGTGTGGGGCGTCTAGGGGGCAGCACAAAGAAGATGGGGGACATCTTGTTAATGACAGTCACGTTGGTACGTGTGGACACAAGGGCTAAATATATTAGTAACACTTATTTCGCTTGCTTCCTTCTCCTTCTCCTTTTCCACGGCTACTACAACGCTTTAAGTAGCTCCGGGGCTGTTCTCAGGTCAGGACAGCCCCACACAGCGAGGACGGGCTGTGTCTGAAAAGCTCCCATCTGGGCCCCGATCGCAGTCCCCCATCTGTCCCCACAGCTGTGGCTTCAGACTCCTACACCCACGGAGACACCCTCCTCAAGATGTCTGCGCTGTCCGCTCCACCCTGCCCTGCCTGGAGAGCAGGTCACCCGCCACACGGAGCCCCTGCAGCCATACCCAGCCCTGCAGAGCCTCCCCACCCCGCACTGCCCTGGGCACCGGTCAAGCCTGGGCCCGCAGAGGCACGCACGTGGGGCTGCGCGTGGTGGGCACGTAATAAACATCAGGGTCACGGCCAGTGAGCTGTGGGCCACCACGTGCGTGACCTCACATGCGGCACGCTGGGGCCACGGGGCCACGCAGACTCAGGGTCGCAGGAACTCGCTTTCCCGGCCGCCCATGAAAATGAGGAAGACGCCCAGGACACAGGGATTCCTTCTCTCCCTTTAACTCTGAAGCCCTCAGAGCTCTGGGTCCCCGTTTTCGTCTCATTTCGCAAAGGATCTCCTATGGAGCTCATTCTCTCCCTCCAAAAAATCTGCTACCCCTTTCTTAGCAATTCCCTCCAAAGATGAACGCGGATACACGTCCCACCACACAACAAACCTGCGGGGGGCCCAGCCCTCCACCCACCGGCTTCCATGCCTGCAGGTGCTAGTCAGAGGTCAGTCTTCCCATGGCTTTCTGTCCCTCAGGATGCCTCAGACCTCAGGCCTCCTGTGAGACCGTCCACTTCCCAGGCCGGCTGGCCCCGCCACCGCCCCGCTGGGGCCCCCGCCGGTCACTCAAGCTCTGTGCTCTGGTAACTCCATCTGCGAAGTGGGAGAGTGCGGCCCTCCTGCCCGCTGAGCTGGACGTCACACCAGGTTATCCACGTCCGGCCTTCCTGCCAGTGAGCCCTTTCCATACATTCTGTATGTTAAAACGCTTCGTGTTGTTCAAACTTATGTAATGTCCATCGTCCAACATCAGATGTTCGCCAAAGGGCAATGAGGGGGAAGCAGAGCGCGGAGGGGTGTGTGGGCCCGCGGCAAGCCCACTGGATTTGTGCCGTGGAAGCCCCCTGAGCTCAAGGGGTCACGTGAGGAGGCTCACTAGGGCCCGGCTCTTAGGGAATCTCTCGGATCCGCCACAGTCTGACAGACAATTTCCCCTCTGCACCACCTGAGCCCACCTTGGCCCCTGTCATGGGTGCTTTGGCAATGGACGGCTTCAGGACCCCAAAGGGCCCGAGAACACCCAAAGGAGCCCGGGACAGTACCGGTCTCAGAAGCCCAGAGGGACGTGACATCTCTCCCCATATCTCAGTGATTTGGTACCAGGCAGAGGCTGTGGCACTGGGGGTGGGAAGGGGCCGGCTCACCCGGAGAGCTCAGGAGGCAGGGTGGCAGGGAGGACCAGGGGCAGAGGCCTGGGGGCCAGCGCCTTGTTCAAGATTCCTCCTGACTCTCCTAAAAGGACATGCTCAGCACATCTCTTGGACCAGGCGCTCCGCAATGGTCCGGTCTCCTCTCTGAACCTGGCTTTGGGATGCCTGTGGCCCGAAGCAGGGCCCGCACACTGGCAGCACCCAGCGAAGGCCCACTCTTGGGTGGCGGCCGGCCCAGTGCGGAGAAACTGTGTCCATAGCTCCCCTGAATTCCCAGGCTCACCCCCGAGGACACCCGCCCCGGCCCCAGCCCCTACCTGTCTTCAGGACCACCAGGTGTGAGGCATCATCCCGCACGTAGGACACGGCAGCGATGTCGTGGATGGGGACCCTGAGGATGGTGTCCTCCCCGTCCCGCCAGGCCAGCTTGACGTTGTAGGCAGACAAGCTGATGACAGCGTCGTGCTCCTGGGTCAGGTGTCCGGGGAGCTGGTGGGCTCTCTGCTGGGGACCACAGCGCGTCAGCCACAGGCCCGCCGCAGCCCCCGGGCTCCCTGCCCCATGCTCAGCCCCGTACCGCACTGCGGCCACACTAGGCCCGCCCCGGGCACTCTGCGGCCTCCACGGCTGCCCTCACCCAGACCCGTGGGGTGTGCTCTACGCTCTGGACAACGTGAATTCTGAAAACAGCCCAAAAGCACGAGGAGCAAAGTGCAGAGAAGAAAGCTCACATTCAGACAGGTTTGGTCTTGACGGCCCGAGAGCCAAGCACACCCATGACACAACGGGACGGGGTCATCCCTGTCATCCCTCCCAGCCAGGAAGGCCCAGCGTCAGAGGACCAAGAGCTGGGGTCAGAGTGTAAGGGCAGAGGTCAGAGTTAGGAGGGGTCACAGGCCAGGGGTCAGAGGTCAGGGTCAGAAGGATGGGGTTACCTTTGCATTGTCTATGAAATGCAGGATTTCGGTCCTACTGGAGGGATTCAGGTATCCCGGTATAGACGTCAACTGACCTAAGTACTGCAACAAAGTGAGGAGAGACGCTGCCATGAGGAAGGGAAGATCGGCCCGGACCGTCGTGGACACACAGAGGACGCAGCCTGACCTCCGCCTTCCGCCACCAGACCTTCTGGCCTGGCTCGGGGGTGGGGGGCCTCCGCTGGGAAGCATGCTCTGAATTCTTGGAAAAGTGTCCCCGCTCAGGAGACGCTGCCACACTTCCCGCTGTCCCGCACCATGAGGATGGTTATCCCTAACGGGGCCCCTTCCTCAAGGAGAACGAGCTCTGCCAGGGACGGAAATCCCCGGCTCCAGCCTGAAGGGGGGAAAGGGGGAACAGAATGAAAAGTGCATCGCGGTCCAGGGGCGCAGGCTCCCGGGAGGACCGAGACAGACTGACCACAGGACGGCGGAGCGCACCCTCCCCACACGTCATCCTCCAGCCAGATAAGCACACGGCCTCACGCGGAAGGCCCGTCCGCCGCCACCCCTGTCACCCTGTACATCACGTCCAGCTGATGGCAAGACACGCTCACGGGCAAGATGCCGTCTGAACACACAGGGCAAGCGCCAGAACCAGCCGCAGACACGGCAGGGCTGTTCTCAGGGGCCACCGGACCCAAAGTTCAAAGCAGTGGCATTGGGGCGCCTGGGTGGCTCAGTTGGTGAAGCATCTGTCTTTGGCTCAGGTCATGAGTTCGGGGTCCTGGGATCGAGTCCTGCGTCAGGCACACTCCCTGCTCAGTGGGGACTCGGCTTCTCAACCTCTCCCTCTGCCTCCCGCTCCCCCTGCTTGTGCTCTTGCTCTCTCTCTCAAATAAGTAGATAAAATATTTAAAAAAATAAAATTTATAAATAAAGCAGTGGGATTAATGTGCTAAGGGTTCTAACAGAAAAAGTAGACATCGTGCTTCGTGCGTAATGTAAGCAGAGAGCTCGAAACGCTAACCATGGACCGATGGGAAATGCCAACAATCCACCATAACAGAAACAGACTGACGGTTCCATCGACGGACACATCTGCAGGCGGGACACAGCCAAGGGACGGGTCAATGGGCATGCAGACGTGTCAAGGTATGTCAACAAAAACTTCCCAAAATGGAAAGCAAAGAGGGAAAAGTATGAAGAAGATGGAACAGGATGTCCAAGAACGGTCACTAAGTTCCAAAAGTGGGGCCGGGCGTGTGGTGGGATGACCAGAAGCACTCACGACAAACAGGCTCCAGACCACAGATCCGGGGACTCTGACAGCACCAAGCAGGACACACACAGAGAGAAAAGGGAATAAAAACAGAAGCAGCCCAATGCCTGCACATCAGAATCCAGCTATAAACCACCACAGAGAGAACCCTGTGGTAAGCCCCAGGACAAAAGCACCTTACCCGCAGAACAAGGGTAACAAAGGTCAGACTGGGGCGCCTGGGGGGCTCAGTCCGGTGAGCGGCCAGTTCTGGGTTTGGGCTCAGGTCATGAGCTCAGGGTCGTATGATCCAGCCCCACATCAGGGGCTCCAGACCCTCTGTGGCGCCTGCTTAAGATTCTTTCCCTCTCCCTCTGCTCCCCCACCCCCCACTTATACGAGCTCACTCTCTCACTCTCTGTAAGTAAATAAATAAATCTTTTTTTTTTAATAAATAAATCTTTAAAAAAAAATAAAGTGACTCAGTCGTTAAGCCTCTGCCTTCAGCTCAGGTCATGATCTCAGGGTCCTGGGATTGAGTCCCGCATTGGGCTCTCTGCCCGGCGGGGAGCCTGCTTCCCACCCCCCTCTGCCTGCCTCTCTGCCTACTTGTGATCTCTGTCTGTCAAGTAAATAAATAAAAATACTTTAAAAAAAAAGAATGATATTGGACTTTTCTTCAGAAACTACTAAGTGAGAGAGGAATGAAACTCTGAAGCTTTGGTGGAAACCCGTCCCCCTGCAATCTGTGCCCAGGGACCCAGTCCTTCAAGCAACGGAGAAATAAAACCTTTCTCCGACAAACACAATTTGAGGGATTTTAACACTGATTGATTGATCTGAGAGAGAGCACAAGTGTGTGCACACACTCTTGATCTCAGGGTTGTGAGTTCAAGCCCCATGTTGGGCACAGAGCTTACTAAAAATGTTTTTTAATTTTAACTTTTTTATTTAAAAAAATATGGGGGGGGTGTGTCTGGGTTGCTCAGTGGGTTGGAGCCTCTGCCTTCAGCTCAGGTCATGATCCCAGGGTCCTGGGATTGAGCCCCGCATCGGGCTCTCTGCTCAGCAGGGAGCCTGCTTCCTCCTCTCTCTGCCTGCCTCTCTGCCTACCTGTGATCTCTGTCAAATAAATGAAGTCTTAAAAAAAAATTTTTTTTAAGTTTTATGTAAGTAATGTCTACACCCCCCATGCGGCTCAAACTCATGACCCTGAGATCAAGAATTGTGCATCCGAACAACTGAGGCAGCCAGGAGCCCCTAAAATTGTTCTTTAAATTCAAGACCCAAGTACATGTTGCCCAAGAAAAGTCACTTTAAAGAGCGACCTTAATGATGAAAGTGGTCCTCCGAGAAGACGTGACAATGCTTCCCACGCACACACCTGACCACAGAGCATCAACACACACAAGGCGAAGACAGAGCTTCAAGGAGAGAGAAACGAATCCACAACGGCGACTGGGGACTTCAGACGCCCCTCTCTGTCAGAAACACACCGACCCAGCAGGCAGAACGTCAGCGAGGACACAGGGGAGCGCGACGCCCTCGGCCAGCAGGATGTTACTGACACCTATAGACTACTTCATCCCGTAGCGCAGAACACACGCTCCTTCAGCTCACGTGACCACTCATTGTGAAACAGCTCGTTCTGGGCCATAAAACACACCGTAACTAATTTCAAAGCCTGGAAACCATACACAGTATGTTCCCAAATCACAATGCAATTTTTTGAAAGACACAACTGTAGGGGCGCCTGGGTCGCTCAGAAGGTGAAGCCTCTGCCTGGGGCTCAGGTCATGACCCCAGGGTCCTGGGATAGAGTCCCGCTTCGGGCTCCCTGCTCAGCCGGGAGCCTGCTTCTTCCTCTCCCTCTACTGTTCCTCCTGCTTGTGCTCTCTCACTCTCTCTGCCAAACAAATAAATAAAATCTTTAGGGATGTAAAATCTTTAGGGGCGCCTGGGTGGCTCAGTCAGTTGGGTATCTGCCTTCTGCTTGGGTCATGATCTCGGGGTCCTGGGATCGAAGCCCATGCTTCGATCTTAATGGAGAGCCTGAATAAATGAATAAAATCTTTAATCCATTATCAGAAAGTTGCTTTCATTGGTATAAAATCAGCAAAACAAAAAACAAAAGCAACCAAGGAAGAAAGACACAACTACCAAAACTCACATAAAAAGAAAGGATAATTTGAGTAGGTGCATGGTCTATTAAAGGAACTGAATTAATAATTAATAACCTTCTAAAACAGCACCAGGCCCACACAGGTTCACAGGTGAATTTGACCACACACTAAAGGAGGAAACAATACCAATTCTCTATAATCTCTTCCAGAAAATAAAAACAGAGAAAACATCAACCCCAATATCCAAGTCAAAGATACTACAAGAAAAGAAAAATCACAGATCAATATTTCTCATAAACATAAATGCGAAAATCCTCAACAAAATATTAGCAAATCGAATCCAACGAGGTATAAAGATATAAATTATATAAGATAACAAATATAAACAACGACCTGGTTGCATTTACCCCAGGGAGGCAAGGCTGATTCAAAATTCAGAAACAAGTTAATGTAATCCATCACGCACCAACACTCTAAAGAAGAAAAATCGTATGATCACATCAACAGATGCAGAAAAGCATTTGACAACATCCAATGCCTGTTCATGACAAAACTCTCACCAAACGAGGAACAGAAAGAAAGTTCCTCAAACTGATACAGAATGTGTACAAAAACCTACAGCCAGCATCCTAATTAACAGTGAGATGCTTAAAGATTGCTTCAGATCAGGAGAAATCAAAGCATATCCCCTCTCACCACTGCTTTCCAGCACTCCGGGAAGTGCCAGCTAATGCAATGAGACAAGAATGAAAAGGTACGGATTGGGAGGGAAGAAACCCAACCACTGTGCTCGAAGATCCTTTCTCCGACTGAGGAACCAAATAGGTCCCTCTGTGGATTACTGAGTGCAAGGAAGGTGGACCCGGGCCCGACTCGGTGCACCCAGGGCTGTGCCAGGCCACCGCCTGCTCACACGAGGAGGAACGGGCTACGGTGCACCCAAAACACAGCAGCAGGCACAAGTCAAGTGGCTGAAACCTCAAGAAAGCTTTTTTCAGCAACTGTCTGTGTGTGCTGGGCAGCTCTGTCGGGAGACACACACTCCTTCTGGAAAGTTCTGTATTTCATCCTCTCTCAGTTGGGGGCTGAGGAAAGGGAATAAAGCTAAGCTGTGCATTGGCTTCCCCACCATCTCTAGGGCTGGGAATCTCCCCCTGAGAGAGCGGTTTAAGAGTAAATAAGCGGCACATGTAACCGCTGGCTCATACTTAGTTTCTCACCAATAAACATTCCAGAACGTTCCCACCAAGCTGCAGCTGGCCAGTGCCTTTCCATCCGCTTATGTGCACGTGTACATCAAATGCAGATGCCTGTTCACACAGATCCGTATTAAGTTCCATCTATTCTCACAGTTGCAGATTCCAGACTTGCTACAAAGTTATGATGACCGAACAATGTGGTGCTGGCTAAGGACAGACACACAGACTGATGGGGTGGAACACAGTCCAGAAAGAGAACCTCACATACGTGGTCAGTTGATGTCTGACAAGGCAGCCAAGACCCTTGATACGGAAACGACAGTCTTTTCAAAAACGGTGCTGGGAAACGAGAGGTCCACACAGGGAAGAAAGAAGATGGTCCCTTACCTCACACCATATACAAAATATAATTCAAACGGATGAAACGTCTACATGTAACACCCAAAGCTCTGAGTCTCAGAAGAAAACCGAGAAATAGCTTCATGACATTGGATTTGGCAACAATTTCTTGGTTACAAC